TGTAAATATAACACTAGCAATTAGCCATTTGTCTCGACGTAAACGTTTTGAATTTGATTTTTTTCATTTTTGAATTACAAACAAAACCCCCAGACTGGGCATGCAACACGGTCTTATACACGAATACCCTGTTTTCTATACAAAGGAGTTTCAGAAAATTAAGGGGCTGAGTAAAGTTTTAGTACTTAGAAAATTATTTAGAATATAGGTAGCGTGTGAGGCCCATGTGTCTTTGGTCTAAAATGAAGTTAAGGTACTTATTTCACTCAGGAGATACTAGTATTATAAATACCAAGGGTGATATTTAAATCCACTGTTTTGTTGAATACAGCTTCCGATTTTTCAACATCTGTCTATCTTTTATTGCATCCAAGACTCTTAGTGCTTGGATGTGTGAACAACTGAGAGCATAGATGTAGTCTGGTGAAGGATCAAAATATTATATGATGCTAGTGTAGTGAAGGGGTTATGTGGAATCTCACTCGTATAAAGTGAAAAAAGGATCTGCGAGAACAATCAGCAAGGGTTTCACAATACGTGGAGTGAGTACTGTTATGAAGAACCACAAAATATCTACTGTAGGAATTTATGATGTATTCCGGGAAATCCAGAGTGATCAACTTGCCTGACAAGTTTTTTCTTTATACAATCAGCTATAAATTTGGTTACACAATATAGTTGGTGCATTGCTGAATGCTTGATGGAATCTGTATCGTTGAGTAATCATAATAATGTTTTCATTGATGAGGTCTTGGATGCATTTTGATGATAGCTTCTGCAATTTTACTTAGTGTTGATAAAATTATTATCGGTCAGTATGATGATGCGAAGTTTGGATCTTTACCCAGCTTCAAAACAGGCGAAATGATTGCTGTCTTCCAATTGGCTAGATCTTGGGCCTTTGCGATTTTTTTTCCTTCTCGATATAACTACTAACTTCCGAAGACATGATTAAAAGGGTGTTACTTTTGTATGTTTTGACTGAAATTGTGCAACGAAGGAAGAAATTAAGTTTTCTGTTTGTGTGTGTGAAATTGAGATGCATAATTATCTGCAACTGACTTAACTTTTGAAAATCAATGTAAGCAATCCTGTTTGGGCTGTTAATGCGGCAGAACCTTGATATTGTATCACTTAGACCTAGAAATTGCATTTCAGAGTTATCATCTGCTGAAAGCGATTCTAAGAGTCTGGTCCAGTCGAGTTGTGCATGTTATTTAATTAGTCCTGACTTCTTGATTTACTTGATTCATAGCATTTTTATTTGTCGGACATCTGGACTTTTGCAACTGTTTCCAAGCATAATTTCAATGTCTGATCAGTTCACGAATGGCAGCATTTTTATATCTTTTTTTCTTCCTTAATTTCTTTGCTTTTTTGTGCAAGTGCCCAGTGTAATTCCTCATTAAATGTGCCTAACACATTTCTTGTGTGTATTGTATTGAATGTGTACTGGGTGTTGTTTTAGAGCTTTGGCATAACCTGTCCCGTTAGTGACAAGGGCTTTTCTGTCTGGTGTTCATTTCTATCATAACTAGGTTATGATCTGATGACATTTCACACAGACTTTCTATGTAGCTTGAAGAATTAATATTTTTTAAGATAAAGAAATCCATAATAGACGGTCTACTAATACCACAGTGTGTTGGTTTGATTGGGAATGCCAGGTTAATGTTGGCCGCTTGGGTAAATTTATTTATTATGCGTCCATATGGATTAATATCACAGCAATTCCAAACGCAGTGCTCTGGAACGAGTTGGACACAAACCATTGATTTTCTTACGTATCCTCCAACCTCGTTAAGCCTTCATGCAGTAGTAGATTGGCTAATTCAATTTCATACAGCAGTCTGAAGGTCTAAAACCAAATCTCTAGTAGTCACTTCTAGATTTTCTTGAGGTGACGACAGAAAAAAAGTTTTCTGGTGCAGTTGTTGCTCTTGGTCATCCTTAACCAGGTTATTAACTGATGGAGTGTTTAAAAAGCACTTCTTCATAATGACACTTAGAGGGATATTCAACTCTTGGACAACCTCCAATTATTTGCCACTTTTAAATTCACTTAAATCATGCATTTGAGCCATAAATACTGATCACTCTATTCATGATTATTTGAAACATTAACTTATTGAGGAAAAAAAAAAAAATCTCATTATCCTTTAACCATTCATTTGTCTCGAAAACTGCGACACAGAGCCCGCCCTTGCGCTGCAAGTTTCAGTGTGTCTTTGTTGGTCTGTGGGTGTGAACGTACGTAGTCTGACCTTACGCGTACTTTGTAACACTAGTGCATTCTAAAATAACTAACTGTGTTGCGGTTTTCGAGACAAATGAATGCAGCGCGTAATAGTCAAATGGTTAATTTTGAAGACCAGTGTAATACACTAAAAATAATATTGGCTGTGTGAGTTTTAGTTCCATTTTATCACCAGCATTATGCAAGATATGAAACATGGATTAGTCTCAAAATGATTCAGTGCAGAAAATTATTCTTAGAATAGAGGGCAAATAAGTAATTAAATTTAAGCATTAAATGACTATTGCTAATTTAAATTATATTTTGCATATTTGTTACCGTTCTTGCATACCTTCCCCTTAAGGGAGAAAAAGGCTTAGTGACATAGAAGCTTTTTTAGATGAGCATTAAAGCAGTAGCAAGTGAAGAGGAATATAAATCATAACATTTTAACCAACATAATTAAACAATTGTATAATTTTTAAGTGCAAGATTTTAAAACAGTAATTCTTAGTCTTATTAAATTTTTCAGTATTTGATATCAACATCTGTTTTTTCTCTTATCACAAATAAAAACTTTCACATAACAAGTACGTATTCTAATTGTTACACATAAAAATTTGACTAATTTTCACACTGATTAATATTTTAACATCATAAATATAGTAGGCCTAATAATGATTTCACTGTTATTATCTTTCATTTGTAATTCCTTATTCTGGCAAACTGGAAGGCTCCATAGTACTTCTAAAAATACATTTCCATTAACACTTCATTTTCATGTGAGCTAACTAGTGTTCGTTCTGCACCAGCGGCTCATGGTCGCTCTTGCAGTTACTTGAAAAGGCCTGTTCCTTGAATCTGGAGAAAATTCAATAATATTTCAAGAACTTTAGTTCCACATCTGCATTCCATACCCAAATTGTATAATATTTTGATATTATATTTCTGTATTCAAATATGAGTAAGTTCATGAAACAAATGACAGGGTACAGTCAAACTTAAATGCGCTTTATTTGCTTTCTCATTGCAATTGTAAATATTCTTCAAAATTTCTCTTCCTTTGCTAATATTTTCTTCTCAAAGGCTTTTCTCTCACCAAACATTTTTCTCTTTGAAGGGGCAGGAGAATATATAAAATATAAAACAAAATTATTAAACTTAATTGGAAGCAACTGGCAGCAGATGTTTAAACTCATAAATTTTAATTAAACACAACTCTGCTTGAAAGATACGCTTTGCACCATTTTGCATCACTGGGAAGCCCATTAAGGCACTCTTTCCCTGCACTGCTAAATCTTCAGCCCAATCACCACGCAGGATTAAAACAAAGACTTTCTAAATAGTACCACAACTAACTATGCATCCTCTTTCGCTACTTTGGCCTCCTGCTGACAACCTGTTGCTAAGCCACTGCTAGCTCTTTTCCCTTACATAAAATGTAATTCCATATCTAAAATTGTGGCACATTCCTATTGGTCTAAGATTGAAGAAAATGTGTGCTACGAAATTCGTCATAAAAAAAACAAATGATGTTTAACTACCAAAGTGGTCATGCTTCCAAAATTCCATCTCATCATCCACTACACTGCAATTTCCAGCCATCTATGCAGAAGCTTTCTTGGCGATGACTACAAAGTGAACTGGTGCCTTTCCCAATTAAGCTGTCATCTGATATTTAGTTATCTACAACAAAATAAATCATCATCATCATCATATATATGCAGTTTCCTTTTTATTGTATTTTCTAATTTGACATTACACAAGAAAATTTTAATTTTTATTCCCCACTAGAAACATATCGAAGAGAGCCTGAAATGCACTTGGTTATTGTATGTTTTTGTCAGAGTTCTCCAGAAAGTTGCACTTAAAATCCTGTCCTGGAAACTTTGCTTTCCAAAGCTTTTTTCTGCAATTACCAATTCCAACAAAATCTAAAATAATAACCATGTGCAACAAATCACTGTAAAGATCTTTATTATTCCCCATATGTCTCTTTTAATTTGTATTACTCCAACAGATTCTAATTATACATTTACACTGAAACCATCCTGTTTGGTTATTGGTAGGTATACTTGCTTATATTATGCAATCGTTTGCAACTTTATTCTCTGATCAATCTACTAGAGGCTGAGTGGTTAAGGCTGCTGAATATTGGAAGTTCGGCTCAGGTTCAATCCGAGGCGTACAAGATGACTGTAGTGTTGGTTTCCCCAATATGTAATGTGAATGCAACACAGCTTTCCTTAGGTAGTCCTTCATGAAACATCCCTCTACTTAAGCAGGTAGCTCTTGAGTACTTTGCCACAGTCAAATAAGCTCATTCTTTTATCATGCCACATCAGAAGTTCTCTGTAATGTCATATTCCTTTTTCGTTTATAATTAGTGGGTACATTTGCATATTTAGTTTTGGGGACCTTTTATAACAAAAACGAAGGTTGACCTCCCTTCTCCCCATCAACATCAAATTTTCAAGCAAAAAAAATCTCATCTTTTCATATATCAGATATAAGGTTACTCAGAATATGGTAGCTTTCCCATACATATTAATACATCTACCTTATTTCAGAAATACATCCCACCAAATGGTGCACATGTGTATTTGCTCAGGCCTGCATCTCTCATGATCCAACTGTTTTTTTTTGGGGGGGGGTGGACAATCTATTTAATTCTGACATTCCAAAATAGAATAAGACATTAAATAAGCTATACATTAGAAAAATAATCCTGGTATGTTTATATTAGTAATTTTATCAACCTTTGTAAAATTATATGTTGTTTATTTCATTCAAAAAGATAACACAAATTAATTAAATGGTTAATTATAACCTTGAAGCTAATGATACTATTTCTTCTTTTACATTTCCAGTTAACCCACAAGAGTTTACAAAGTTGAATTTTCAGTACAACCGTAGACATTTACTTTATAAATTGGTTTCATACAAATAATAAACTTTCCCTGGGGGGTTCCTTCTAATTCCATCTGCATTTCCTGTTATTATGCACTTAGCAGTTTTCTAATTACCAAAATAAAACTTAGGTAAAAATGTACAGTTAATTTAGTTTTGCACTTAAATAAATAAAAAAAAGAGAGAGAGAATAAGCATCAGTTTTTTCAACTAATCAGGTTGCACAGGTATTTCTAATGACAAAACATATTTCCAAAAAAGTTACTATAACATAACTAATTAATAACATTAACATAACATACAAATTAACAGCAACGAGAGAAAATACGGTAACAATTTAAATAAGCAACATTAATATAAAATTGCAGCTACAGTTACACTAATTGTGAGGAAAATAAAAACATAATTTATGCATTATGAACTGCTGCTAAGTGTAAAATCTTCATAATTCACCATGACAGCACCCATAGTTCAGCACCTTTATAGATTACAAACTTTTCTTTTTGGCAATACATTGAATAACCAATAAATTAAATGCTCTCATGCAGTTTTACTTATAAATAAGTATAAGGATTTTACATTAATATTACACAAAGTATGTGCCATTAACAATCATTCTTGGCACAATATGAGACAAAATATGAAACAATTATAAATAGATCTGGGAGTATTTTGTGAAAAATGCCTCATAATCTTCAACAGATTTTTGACAATGCACGTAGCAGAAAAAGTACACAATACATTTAAAGGCATTTAATAAAGTAGTTTTTGTATGCAATCACTTCATACAATAAATTATTACAAGCCTTCAGAAGGCAAAAAAATTTGATTAGAAAACAAGCTGAACACATAATTAGGGAGATGAAGGGCTGAAAGTTTAGATTAATCAGAATTTTGATTTACCTTTCTAAAATTCATTATAAGCTTATAAAATAAAAGCAATAAATAATACATAGAGCAACACACATAATTCTGAAAAATTTCCCAATTTACAGAAAGTTGATCACACAAACGCAACATGCACTTTGTAATTCATCAATAACATTAATAAAAATATTCTCTTTGAAATATATATAATATTTTTAAACCCTTATATATGTTCAATGATACAATAATCCTTAGCCAAGCACAAATGATAGTCAATAAAAAGAACGGTTTATGAAATACAAAAATAGATAACCAAACTAATAATTAAGCAATATGCACAGCATAATTGATCAGACACAAAGTAAAACACAAGTGTGTTTGTTCTCACATCAATTTTAGAATGCTTCACAGAAGCCCACACCACCATAATATAAATACTTTACAACTGTCTCCTTAAAAATAGCCTAAATTACATTTAATAATACTATAAACGTAATATATGATTCAAAACCTGATTTGTAACTTCAGCCCTTCAACTGTTAATGCTATTATTTTCATCTACAGTACCCATTCTAAAATAAAAAATAAATAAATAAAATAAAAAATTAAAATAAAAATAAAAATTACATAAATGACATGAATGGGCTAAACTCTGATGCCTGACCGACAACATTTGTTCCATCGTGCGAACTGACAGCAACAACATTTACTCTATTCTGATCAGTCATCATAGCAGGAACAGCAGATGGTGGAGTTGGTCCAACATGTGGATGTGCATGAGGATGTTGATGTGTGTGCTGATGGTGATGGTGATGGTGATGATGAGGTTGGTGATGTCTTTGTTCCATAAACGTCACTTGATAATTATGAGCAGCAGCACCTAGCTGCTGTAAAGCAACAGCTGCATGGCTATGAAGTGTTTCCTGATGAGATGATTCATAACTATATACAACTGGCGCTGGTGGAGGATTATTAGTTCCAATTACAGATACAGCTGTTTGTAACTCAATATGCTGCTGAGGTTGAAGCTGATTATTCTCAGATTCAGTTGGTTGATTTTTATTTGGAGGAGAATAAACACTTACTTCATAACCTTGTCTTCTCTGCTTCCTAGGTCTATAAGGACCTTTAGCAGTAGCATTTTCACCATGATGTTTGCGAAAATGTTCTTTTAATTTATCCCTACGAGAACTACAATAATCACAATGCTCACACTTGAATGGCTTTTCATTTAGGTGAATACGCTCATGTCTTACTAAATGACTCTTTTCAATGAAAGCTCTACCACAAATGGAGCATATATGAGAACGAACAGCAGTATGAGTTCTATGATGAGATCCTAATTGACTTTTTTTAGGTGTACTATATTTACAATTTGGGAAATGGCAACGAAAGACATCACCTGTATGAATTCTTTTATGAGAAAAGAGATGTGATTGATATTTTGTACTAAAGCCGCAAGTGTCGCATAAGAATGGTCGATCTTCACGATGAGATGCAAGATGTTGATCAAGACTTGCTTTGATTGCAAAGCGTCTTTCACAGTGTTCACACTGATAAGGCTTCTCCCCAGTATGACACCTCATGTGACAGTCCAAATTTGCTTTTGTTCTACATCGATGATCACATTCATCGCATTTAAATGGACGTTCATCAGTATGCCTCATGCGATGAGACAATAAAAATTGTATTCTGTCACAGGTATATTCACAAGTTTCACAACGAAATGGTGGACCCTGAAAGTGTGTTTTCATGTGAAGGTAATATTCTCGATTCCATTTGCAAGTAAAATCACAAACTTTGCACTTATACGTAACATCCTTCGCGTGAATGCGAGAAACATGTTGCTCTAATCTGACAGAACTGTGAGCTATATAAGAACAGTTAGGACATTTTACACCATCTTTCCATTTTGATTTATTTCCATGGCCATTTACCGACTCCTCAATACTAGAATCAGTAGCACTAGAGCTACCTTCATCATCATCGTCATCATCTTCAGAGTCAGTTTCTGAAACGTAGCGTTTTTTGGTAGGTTTACCAACAGGCTTTTTGTTTCGAGTAGGAGACAACTGAGCCTGCTTTGGCTGTTTCATATTTTGTTTAGATGATTTGGAAGTATGCTTCATGGCTGGTTTTGCTGAAATACTCCCTGAAGATTTTCGTGTTATTTTTATTGGTGGTACCGTTTTCTGCACTTGGGTTGATCTTCTTGTTGTCATAGTAATCTTCCGGGGGGCTACAGAGTGGAATAGTAATTTGAAATACACAACTATAAAACAAAATTTAAAACATATGTTTGGAAAAAAATAGCATTATTTTTCAAGAAAAAGCCAAATTAATTTTAAAAATAATAATCAGTTATTATTAATCAACAAAAGCCTGCCTTCATGAGGAGTACTTTTTGAAAAGGAAACAAACGTAATTAAAAACTCGAACATTAATATTTAGACTAATTTGACCTGTCTGTGAAGAATCAATACATTTTAAGAAGCAACTCAGAAATAAACTCTTTTCAGTAGCAAATAAATTACATAGCTGAGGGCACTTTTAACTGACAAGGTACATGTAAGTACCTGTACTTGTTAAAGTATGACTAAAACAAGAGAATGAAAAACTTTTAAGGAAACATGTGTAAACATGCACGGACGATAAGTGCTGAAATGAACTCTTTTAATCCTGGAATGGCGAGAGACAGCCCTTTTGTTTTTAATCTCATGACGGCTGTGTCAAAGCTAATAAGAATTCCCTCTGTTCACATGCAGTTTTCATGCTTCCTAGAGGAGTACAAATTACTTTTGCTGTCGTAGCCTGTGTATTCAGTTTCAGGCAATTAATCTTAACATGAGGTTTTTTTAATCAGGTGTTAGTTATTCAATCACTGGAGCCAAAAAATTTAAAAAAAGCAACTTCAGTTTTGGTATATATTTTGAATAAATTGAATTTTATTAAAAATCCATGCCAATTATACCCACAGGGTGCTAGCACCTCACACAAATATAGCATGCAACATTAATTTCTCAATGGCCAATTATTTTTTGGGGGGACCGGGCTCCTTGAGATAGTTCTTTTAATTACTCTTGCTGCAATAAAGAGTAGATAAAAAAACATATTTTCATTAAAAGATAAAAAACAGAGGATGAGAAATCAGGCATTTTTATCTCAAGACTAAAAATAATAATTTTTGATATATAAAAATGGACAGTTCCGCTTCAAAGAAGCTGCAAGGACAAAATTTCTAAAAGCTGAGTATGTTTTGCCAAAGACCTTTGCTGAACAATTTGCAATAAACATCCCAGTGAAGGCTAACGAAGAAGTGAAATTAAATAACACTGCAACTCAATGAAGATCACAGAATCTTGTGACACATTTTAAATGGAGTACCTGGAGATATACCAGCTGAAAATTAAGAATTTTTTCATTCATTTCAAATAATAATTAAGCAACAATTTCAATATGGTACTCACATAACCACAACGCACAATTTTTCATGGATAAAAAGTAAAAGTTGTTTACTGGGTGACAGTTGGTGGTTTTGTGAATTGGCACAATTTTTTACAGATGAAAATGTAAAAGCTGTTTACTGGCTGCAAGTTGGTGGTTTTGTAAATTTTTTTTTGAAAGATTCTCAAACTATTAATTTTTTATTGTAAGTCAGCAGGTATTATTATATGAAAAGAAAATGCTTTAGCAATCAAATTTCAATTATTAAATAGCGATAATAATTTTTTAAAAATCACATTCTCCCCCAAATCTTTCCATAATTGTTTTGTACAGTAATCTGTTTTCACTTAAAAAAAAAAAAAAAAAAAATCTGAGAACTCTGAAGACTCAGCATCACTGGCTATCTATCAAACATATCTTCTCAATGTTCCTTTTATAAATTTTGTGTCAAAATTCTGTATTTCTGCAGAAATTTTAGTGCAGTTTCTTACATTACTGACAAATTCCACAAAAGTATATTTTAACATCAAGGCAAAAATTATCAAGATTTGCATAAAAAAAAACACTGGAACTTAGAACGCAACAAAAAGAATGTATACGAAAATGGCAACATTGCTTGACTCAAGGAATGTTGTGAACCTTTGCCCAGAGTTTGGCTACGATTTCTACTAAGACTTCTACTAAGATGATTCTGATAACATGCAAGTACTTTTAATGCAATTCCCTTCTTTCATCTCCTTCCTGCAAGATCACTAGCTTTTAATGGTAATCAATGTACCAAATGTCTAGAAAAGTAAATATTAGTTTGCTATGCTACCTGTGCAAATCCTTATGAAATGAAAATAATGTTACCTACAACTTTAGGAAAATCATAGACATTATGGTATGACATAATTGTTAAAATTTTTCCTGTATAGACTTTATTATGTATGTTTAAAAACCGCTTTATTCCCCCACAAAACTGTGACACCAGTGAGGGGAAAATTAAGTAGTGTATATCATTTCTGAGAAGAAAGGTTAAACTAACTAGGAAGATAAAAAAAAAAAAAAAAAAAAAAAAAAAAGCACACAGAAGATATATCGTAATATTATGCCATTCCATACTTCAAAAAAGTTAGTTAATATTTTACTTACTATTCTTTCAGAAAATGTTAAAACTTTTATGCCGAGAAGACAATTTTTCATATACAAAATGAGGAAATTCAATGCAAACAAATATTACTATGAAAAGACTGGAATCTCCTGCAAGGAAACATTTATAATGACATTAAAACTATGCACAGCTGAAGAATTGATACCTCACTTTAATACATTCAGAAATTTCTTTGTAACGATGCTAATGAGAAAAACCTTCAAGAAATGCATTTAATTTGTACTGCTTTGTTTGAGGCTAAAAAATTAACAAGATGCTTTTTCTTTCAAAAATGTATTAAAAATCTATCTTTATGTTAGTCTTCAAAAGGGGAAAATACGATTGCTCCCATTTTCATGCAAAATGTTACACAGTCTCAATTCTTACAATTTAAAAAGTTAAATATTTTAATCTTAACTGTTTAACAATTTGTTCAAAAATTAATTAACTGGCAATTAAATAATTTATTTCACAGATTAAAAGTAAAATAAATATGTATAACAGCAGTATGGAAGTTCTAGTTAAAATATGCTTTATTACAACTTATATAAAAATTATTATACAACTTCCAAATTCACATGTCCTTTTTAATATCCTTTGCGAAACTTATGCAGTACAAACAGTGCTCTACTACAATTCAAAAATTAAGGATATAACTATTACCGTAAGCCCTGAAACTTAAGGGGTTATCACATCTAGCAAGGGTCTCCACTAAACAGGACTTTGCTGAGAAAGAAGATTCTGGTAGCAGTGGTTTAAACTGGAGGATTCCTACGAAAAAAAAACCTCCGCTGGAAGTGAAGTCCCGGCTACGCAGAATATTTTGAAATTTTGCTGAAAATGTTCTGTCTGCAGCTTTGTTCTGGGTAGAGATTAACCGATTAGACGAAAGTCCTGCTTCTGAAGGATCATGCGATACCAATCTCAGCGATAATCAATTACTGTTTGGCATTCAAGTCTGTTTAGTAAGTGAAAATGGTAACCCACCTATGTAGGTTTCATGGAAATGTGTTGGTTCTAAGAAATGTCCCTTAGACATTCAGTCTTGTGTAACGGAAGCATATGTGAAAGCAACTTTAGCCAGAAGCAAAAACCTGTTTCAAGCAAAACTGTTCCTGAGTAAGTTGACTGCATTTTTGAAACTGATAATTCTTAGTTTCTAGTAAAATTAAAAAAGAGAAAAATGATTTTAAAAATAATACACACATACTTCTCCTCATTTCTTTATAAACAAAAAGTACATAAAATTCAAGAAATAAAAAAATACAGTACAAAGTCCAAGACCAAGACTTGTTGGGACTTCGCTGATTTGAGAATTTTTTGGATTTTGGATGCCTAGTAAAATGGCACGAAGAAATTATAAAATCAATGAAATAATGAAGCATTTATGCCATTAAGGGAATCAAAATTTACAAAAAAGGTCAACGTTTGTTTGCTATCGTATCTCATTTGTCTGACATTCAGAACAAACCAATGAATATTATCATGGTAAGAACTACAAATTTTCAGCCTGTTGTTTCACGTGAGCCTTGAACACCACATAGATGATAACACATCTGCTGCTCATTTCTTGTCCCAATTTAGAGACAGCACCCTAGGAAATGGGTCTCTCACTCCTCTTCCCCTACCACCAACCTCTCGAGAAGCCCTTTCTGCATATAAGAGTGCAACCATGCCGCAAAGTCCATGCCTTCTCCAGGATTTAAACCCAGGCCCTTCGGTACAGTAGTCAGAACCTCTACCCACTGTCCCACTGGGTGGCAGTCAATACTTATTTGCTTGTTTTATTAAAACATCTCTTTCAATGCAAGTTATTTTGTTTTTTGTGCTAATACTTTCTCTTTAATTTTATAGGCTCGCATAATTACTTGTTCAGTTACAACATTCAATACTTATAACTAATGTGCTGAGAATTCACACTAAATTATCACTCAAAGTTATTTCATTTTCAACAACCTCCCTGTTACTTTCTTCCCTATCAGTAACAAAGCTTTTAGGATTTGGAATCATACAACAAATTTCACCATCCTTTAATTAACTGATTACTGAGGCACTGTCATCGTAATGAAATACTTCTGTTACATTACATTTCATTTTAGGTGTTAACTTTATTAAATGACTGATTATGTTCATCATCTGATGTCTCGTGAAGGGATGAGCCAGTTATACGTACCACACCCTGTATCACGAGATTAACGACTAAAGACATGCTGTGCCATTTAAAAATCACTCTAGTAGCCCACCTCACAAGTTACTGAGACTATGTAAATCCTTTCCTTGTTCTATAGCACTTGTTTTTAACTTGTAGGATTTTGAATGATTGGCTGTTCAGGGTGCCGCTGCTGCAATTCTGCAACGTTATAAATCAAACACATTTTTATACTTATGGAAGGGACCAAGAATAAATGTGCTTGCAATACTTTGCCACACAGTCACTTTAGTTTTGCATAAAGGTGTTGTTGCCACATCAAAAAGATTTGTTGTGAATGCAGTTCTTGGGAGTTTCATGTTCCCAGTTAAGGAGAAACGCACCTCATTTGAATGTAACATCACCAGCGGCCACCTGCTATAATACAAATAAACATTTAATAAATAGCAAGAGTTCTTTCATGGAATTTTAATCTATAATTCTTCCAATATCATAACTGCAAATAAGCAGAGTT